ATTCACGACTATTCACCACACTCACTTGAATCGTGATAACCTGCAATTGTAGTAGCAGTTGCCGATCTAACAACTGTGCCAGACTCTGGTTGTCTCATATAGTCGTTGCCGACCGGAGCGCTGTATTCTGATTGATTCCAGATCTTTTTATTTCAATACGCATTGTTGTACCAGTTGTTTGGGCTCTTCAGTGTTGTAGGTTCGTATAGCTTTATTCCATTTGTTGTCTGAAATATCACCAATACCTACTGAATATTTTCTGTCGAGATCTTTTAATAATATTCGAATTTCATGCGGATTTGTTTCGCTCATGAGTATTGTTTCAATAAACTGCAAGAGGAGAGAGGAAACAGTTGTTTGGAAAATTGCTCCGATGAAGTGTTTTTGCAAATTAAGAGATATATTTGTTATAAAGGTCGTATAACGCTATCAATTTATTCCATAAAATTCTCGTTTCAAATAATATTTTCGGTGATAGGTTGCGAGTTGCCTGTGGCATTTGTTATTTTTGTGCACGCTTCTCTCAATTTGTTAATTTATATCTCTGACATTTCACGTTATATTTGCTTTAAAATGATTTTTTCTGAGGATGTATCGTAGAACCTTATTATAGGAGAACCCGCTTATATAAAACAATATGGGGTGCCCCGAGTTTTAAAGTATAAATGTTTGGCATGTTCTACTCGTATCTCCATAAAAGAAACGCTCTTATGTGAACTTCCCACCCACAGTAAAGAGAACTCCGGTAGAGTTCTTTGTCTACAAGTAAGAGAAGAGAATTGAAGCGAGAAATTTTTTACGTGGCAAACTAACCAATCAAACTAATTGATTTGAATCTCAAGCATCCTTAATAAATGGTCAAAAAATGATTGCCATTCGCGGAAATACTCTTTCAGATGTCTCAGTTCAACTGTGAAGGTGGGAAGGAAGTCGACATTAAAATCGCCGCATAATATAATTGAAATTGGTATGCGGTTGGATAAGTATTAGAGCAGAAGATCAAGATTATCAAACCATTCAGAAAGTCTCCTGGCCGGCGATGTGTAAATGCAGATTCATTTGGTTATAAATGCAGGGAAAAGCTATCTTTTTGAAAGAAATAATACGGAGTGTGGTAAAAAGCCATTAATCCATAGTTTCCGTGGAGCAGAAAAAATGCTCATTATTACTATTAGAGCATAGTGAATCGTGAAGAAACAACCGTTTATTTGACAGCCACTGAGCATGGCGTTGTAAACGCGTTTCTTTAAGAAATTCTGACTGCATTTCTTTGAAAATGCGTTACATTCAGATTGTTATTTTGAACGCAGATTACACGACATTGTGGTGGGGATTGAAGGAGATGCAATAGAAGAGAGAAAACATGTAAGAACATAAGCAAGGAAACAGGAGAAAACGAGTACGATGTGAAATGACGGCAGGAATCAACTTTGATTTCATGACCCTCATGAAAATGGAGAGTTGTTAGGAATCCTAACACTGTAAACGATGAATATTTTCTAGTGATTAATTATTTTTTTATAAAATCATAGAGTAGAAAGTAAAGCAGTCTAATCGTGAGTTTAATTCACGCCGCAACACGACGCACGTCCTCACACTGCTCAACAAACCTGTGAAACCATCGACAAAATGGGTTGGGATATACTGCCTCATCTCCCTTACAGTACCGACACTGAAAGAGGCATTACATGGGATGATTTTCTAGAATAACGTGAATGTCATAAAATTTGTGGAAGATTGGTTCAAACACCAAGATAAAGAGTTCTTTGCAGCACGTATTAAAGAGCTGATACCCTACTGGGACAAGTGCATAAAGTTGGTGGGGATTATATTAAAAAGTAGGAAAAGTTCTGTTTTGCAAGTATAAACGTTTATTCTTTCAGACCAAGTTGTCTATTTAATTATTCAATCCCCCTCAAAATAATGTACTCGTTTGCCGTATCTACAAACTTCATGTTCAAATTATCTTCACTCGATTGGCAGCTATTTACAGCATTATGTTGGCAACACGCACACGCGCACACACACACACACACACACACACACACACACACACACACACACACACACAATGTATAAATTAGTAAAAATCAGAACGGTATAAGTGCAATTGTAGAAATTCTGAGAAAACCTTGATTTATATTCGCGGCATATTTATGTGACAATGTATTTACGTGGTTTCAATACACAATTGAAATGCCGCGGTTTTATTGATGAAACAAATCACCACGACTGCACACTGATATAGACTCATAAATAATAAACTGAATAAACAAATTACTCAGAATTAATTAAATATCA